ACATTTTGTTTTTTAAACATCGTATCGTTCAGTCATGAACAAACAGGTTTTGGGGCCATTTTGAAACAGATAATCACTGTACATGGTCATCAGCTTGTAGATGTGCTTCATGTTTAGCTTTAAGGCATCGTTGACTGGAAATCTGTGTAATACAAAATCTAGGTTCACTCTACTGTCTCACTATGTGTAATGCGTAAAGCTAATCAATGTTGACTTAGTTTTTTACTAATGTACATTTGGGAGCTGGGAAAGGTGTTTTCACCTGTTTTCCTTTCCTTTCCACTAATCATATGGAAAATTTTAATAATGAATTGCTGTTGACCTTGCTCAGGTCATTCACCTCCTTCAGTGAGAAGAAGACTGAGGAGCAGCAGCAGCGAGCGCTGAAGGGTGTGATGCGTGTCGGCGTGCTGGCCAAGGGCCTGCTGCTCCACGGGGACCTGAACGTACAACTGGTGGTGCTCTGTGCCGAGAAACCCACACGGACTCTACTGGAGAGAGTCTTTGATAACTTCCCCAAACAGCTGGCTGTAAGGCTGTCACTCCTCAGACTTTTTTTTATGTAACAAGACAATTGTTACAGACTTTCGAAAAACAATATGTTAGAAGTTTTGTAACATGATATCTTTTTGGAGAAAAGAGTCAATGGCAGTATTGGGCACAGGTCGAAAATATTCTGTCTGTGTCTTGAAATTTTGACTTGTTATTCTTTAATTACCTTGATCATTTCAAATTTGATCATTTCATGTGATACTGTAGATCACTTTTATGTTCATGGTAGCATATTGTCATGTTCTGAGAAAAATGGACATGTTCCCGGAATTATACATAAGTGGTTGCGGCAGGCACAGAAGAAAGGAAATTATTTGCTCGTGGTAATGATAAATTTGCGCTACAGAAGTGCAGAGAAAAAAATCATAACTTACAGTCTATTGTAATCCATTGAATAAGAAGTAAATAGTAAGTGGTATTTCCATTGTTTCACATGTTAGACTGTGACTGAGGAGAAGTATGAGGTGAAGTTGTGTGTGGAGGAGGCAGCCATCGTGGCCAGCCTGACCAAAGAGGACATCCGGGTGGAGTGTACCATCACGCTGACCTCCCCCGTCATGCGGGAGGGGCAGCCCGAGGGAGGAGGTACGTTCTCTCCCGACAAACCCAGTCCCAGACATCAGCGTTCCTTCTACAACTGTTCAAACCTCGCTGCCTACCTCTGCTTCACAAACAGACAGGCCCAGATTCATCTACAAAATCCGTAAAGGGAACAAGTTCAGGCCTAGTACAAAAAATGTTGTGTTTCCTGTTTCTGAATCAACCCTAGAACTGCCGACCTTAGCGCTTTTTTTGTGGGTGGACCCCTGCAAGGGACATAAATTTTTTGAGCTAATTCTAGCTCCATGATCTGACACCTGAGTGATGAAACGTACAATCGGTTTTCTCGCAAAATGTCCTCATGCAAGTTTTACTTTGTCAAACTGTATTGTATAAGTTGGATCACTAGAGACCCCCAAAGTCTAAAAAAAGAAAAAAACAAGATAATCTATCTACCAACCCAAATTTTTTCAGGACTGAAACATTTTTTCCTAGGCCATAGTAGAGAACAGCTAGAAAGTCTACATTAACTGTTTGGGTTGGAAGGTGTTTTAAAAGTGGTGGCTGCAGTCTGCTTTCGTTGAGATTGGGCCAGTCTATTCTGAAGTGGAGGTAGGGACTGTGGCTTGAACAACAGAGGAACCTGCTGTAAGTATTGTTAATATCTAGTCTAATATCTATAATAGTTTTACATTTGCAACTACTGATGAACCATGGGGCAGCCAGGTAGTCAGCCTTCTCACATTTTAATATCTTGTTGACACGCGACAAGATTTTGTCACTCGTAATTTTGGAAACAAGTGCCATTGTTGTGCTTTTGAATGGTGTTTCCCGCTGGCATATGTGTGTTACAGGGCTGTGAGATTGGACGCTGAGAAAGCCAACTCTCTCTTTTTCTCTGCCGTTCGTTTTGATTTCATTTTACAGGTGGCACTGGTTGTTGTGCTGGCAAGATTGGTAGCTGCATGCAGAGTCATGGATACAACAAACCCACACTACTTCACACCTCTCTGTCTCTTAACAGCCTTGTCAGCAGGAAACATATTGTTCTGTTTTGTTTGTTTTTGGTGGCAGCATCCCAGCCCAGCATTGTTCCCTTGATTTGCACAGGTAGTCCTGGACATTGCTCTGTCGTATCCCTGTGGTCCAACTCCAGACAGTTCTGAAAGGAACTGCAGTACCTGAATGACCTGCTAGATGTCACACATGCTACATGTGTACTACAAATCACTGTAACATTACTTGACCATTACAGTGCATACTAGTACTGAAGACTTTAAAAACATTGGCTCTGAATAGAGTTGTCTGGAGTTTGAGGCAGGGGACTTCGCAGTAGCAGTGTCCAGGACACTATGTGCAGCTTAAAGGAAGCAATGTAGTGTAGCTGAGGTAGAAAGAGCAATGCTGTCCCATGGTTCAAAGGATCGATAGGAAAAGCCAGCTATTTATCCATAGTTTGCTTCTGTACATATTGTCTGTGACTATGATATGTAATGTTCTTCCCCTGAACATTGCATGCATAAGAACTGCATTTGTGTGAGGAACCCGTATAGGGAAGGAAGGCTTTGATTCCTTGAAGACCTGATCATGTCAAAAGTAACTTTTCTTGTCTCATGTTCATGATGACGTCTTTGTTTATTGCATTGATGATGACTTTTGACTGGAGGGAGTGCTCTCTCTCCAGTTCTAATGATGCCATTTTGTTAAGTGCATTCTGTTCACAGTTACTAGTAGGGTTCTGAGAGCAAAGCCTTCTTCAGTGTGTACTAGCTCCATGCAGGAGAGAAAAAGGCGGAAGGATTTTTGACCACATGTCTGCGTGGGTGACAAGCATGGAGGGCGCTAGTGTTACGCCCCACGTCTTGTTGGGCAGAACACACCACCATGGCATGTGAACTTCACGTCCTGCCCGCTCCGCTTTCATTCACATCCCTGTCATCCGTACCAACTTACTTTTCCTTGACATCTTACCATCTACTTAACAACTTTCTTGTGTACAGTCTGTCACAGCTTCCATGACTTTATACCATGACTTAAAGAAATTCTCTTGCTCCATTGTGTTGTTGAAAATTCCATCCTCCTCCACCCCCCTCCCCCTGCTTATGCCATGGTGCGTGTCCACCACCCTTACACATGTACCCCACTTGTGGCAGAACACTAAGCCCAATGTGCTGTTGTTGCACTGTGGTCAAACACCCATTCCCACTCCTACTCTATAGATGTTGTTGCGAAAGACCCACCGGATGTACTGGACAGGCAAAAATGCCTGGATGCCTTGGCAGCACTGCGTCATGCAAAATGGTTTCAGGTTCGACTCCAATTTCTCTTTTTACCTTTGCAGCCTTATCATATAATAACTGTGTTCTGATGTTCGTACGTTTGTATTAGTCACTCGTACCCACCGTAGTTTTTCCCAGCTGTTCGTAAGCCACGATGTATCGGGTATCGCTGGAGGTAACAGCATAAGGCTGGAAAGGAAAATAAGGGATCTACTGTTGTGGAGACATGATTAGGTTATTAGCTAGTGAAACCTGTTGCATTATGTTGTGTCTGTATGCAGTGGTCTGGCAGCAATGTCAAGTCACACTGTGAGAATAGAGACATTGTGTACTGGGGGCCCTGGAAGCCGACGGCTTGGCCATGCCCGGTGCCTTCCAGGAGACCTCCATGCCAACGCCAGTGCATGCTTCGCTTTGCACTCTGTTATAGATAGGATGGCAGTTTTCATGTTCATGCTTCTGTATGTATAATTCTACCACCGGTAACGTTGAACAGTTTGGTGCAGTTTGGCAGTTAGATAATGTCACGGATAACGATTTCTGATCGGGGGAGCGGAACATTGCTGAAATGATATCACTGAGAAACAGTAGAAACACACTCCTTTTGGTAGAAACAATGTGATACGTCGTATTGGAGATATATGACAATATTAGACTGTTTCCGTGCATGGTTTACATTGAGTGTGTCAGATCACTTACGAAGTTGAAGCACACTGTCAAGAAGAAAACATGCCTGGAATACGATGGTCTTGTTTTCTAGCTCCATATTATGTGGACAGTTGTAAAGACTTGTGTGACAATTTCTTTTTTATTGTACACTTTTTGTTCGTAAGGGAAGGAAAGAATTTTTGTACTCAAAACTGAAATTTTTTATATTTGGCAATATTTCAAGTATTAGAAGATTTTTTAGTGGAGAAATTCCCATGTTCTTATCACCCCACCACATTCTAATGCAGAATAGTAGCAATCCACAAAGTTGTTCAGGTTTTTCTTGAATGCATGTTGGACACTACATTTTATTTTCGTTCATTACTTCACTGCCAAATTGTCACCTAGGATAGACCTGGCCTGCATGTTGTTGTATACACAATGCATGTCAGTGTCTCTCTGTCTTCTGTTCTTCCGTGTACTGAATGTATTCCTTCATATCCCCCGTTCCCTTTAAAAGGCTAGGGCTAGCGGACTGCAGTCCTGCGTAATCGTCATACGAATCCTGCGTGATCTCTGTCAGCGAGTGCCGACCTGGGCCCCTCTACGGAGCTGGGTAAGTTCTCAGGCTGTCAGAACACACATTGCACAGCAAAATGGGCCAGGAGGTTAGAAAACTGGGCGTCTCCAACCAAAAAATTGTAAGAGCATCAGTACCAATGCAGGGCCCTTGCCAGGTCAAAATATTTTAGGTTGACAATTAGATATTGGAAGGGGGTGTTGTATGTGCCGCATGCTCCCTGGGAAATTTTGGATGTTCAAGCCTTCAAAAACACAATTTCCCACATTTTGACAGGCAAATCATTGGGTTGAGAGTAGTTGTCTATGGTCCATGTTTTTATATTTTTTTGTCTTTTAAGTTTGACTGATTTGTATGAAAATTTTCCAGTTGCCACAAAGTCCTGGTAATTCACATAAAATGGGCGCTGGCAGGAGTTAGAATTCTTATGTTTGGTCTAGAGTTTAGGGCCTTAAATTCTATGGAAGCCTGTGCAGTTCAAATAGAAGCCTGTCAAAATCAAATCACAGCAAACATGATAGGTGCGTGTACATGTGTACGTGGGACCTTTTACCTGTGCTGAGTTTTCATTCATTCCACTGTTCTACAAACGCAGGCCATGGAACTGCTGGTTGAGAAGGTGGTGAGCAGCGCCGGCACCAACCAGAGCCCGGGCGACGCCCTCCGCAGAAACTTCGAGGCCATCGCCTCAGGCATCCTGCTGCCCAGTGGCCCCGGGCTGTACGACCCATGTGAGAAAGAACCCACGGATGCTGCTGGTACCCTGACACCACAGGAGAGGGAGGACATCACTGCTAGTGCACAGGTAAGACTATAGATTATGTACAATGATTTTTCCTCCAACAGTGGCCTACAAAATGTAGTCTTCCTTTGCCATGTTGTTTCAGCAATCAGCAGTATGTTTTTGTACAGCTCACAGTTTGAAATTCTATGTATCCTTGAGATTGTTCAATAGCTACTAAGAATGAAACCTAGAGGAACTTCCAGAATTGTTGGCTTTTAGTTTTTTGTCGACATTGCTGCATGTAATGAAATGTATTACATGTTTATGTGTAAAAAAAAGGGAAATGTTCTGTCACATGGCTTCTTTGAAGTGTGACATCAACACTGGGTCAAAGGTATCTGATAAACGATGTCAGTTCCTGTTACTGTTGTGTTGGAACAAATGTTTTACCTTTAAACGTGTACCTACCAACACAGATGGACTTTCATGATAGGCAGCATGTTGTATTTTGACGTCTGAATCGGTTGGTAACATACATTTGTTTGTTTATTTATTCCCAGCATGCGCTGCGGCTCCTGGCCTTCCGACAGATCCACAAAGTCCTTGGTATGGACCCGCTGCCCAGCCCCGCCCGCTTCGGCAACAAGCGCTTCAACCCGCGCAAACGGAGGCGCGAGAACACGGACTCCAGTAGTGTGGACGGCGAAGGTAAACAACTCACTAAAGTTAATGGTCACACTTGTTATTGTGCATACAAAACTTTCCTGTGTGTTCAGTCGTTCTGTAAAAAGCTTACACAGGATGAAAATATGATGCCTCCACCCTCCTTTTGACCCTTATTTGTCCTGTTTGCAAAATAGTTGAATACTGTAAATCACTTAATGTTCATGGTAACAAAAGTTTGCAGTCTGTGAAAAATGGAGGTGTTTGTGGAACTATGTATGTTTGCAGTGGCGGCAGGTGCAGCAAAAAGAAAGTCGAAGAATTATTTGTTCACAGTAATGATGAGTATTGCAGTGACCGCAAAAGAAGTGACCGCAAAAAACTGCTAATATAAAAGTACTGTAATTCGATTTACAACTTACACGTGTAGCCTTGTGTGATATTTTGCTGTCGGGCTGATTGGACCCCCCTGCCTTACCAGTGGAAGGGCAGCTAGAAGCATTGTCACTCTACTAACTGTTTTTCTCTTCTCCACATGTTCAGGTGACGGCAAGAAGGACAAGAAAGATGGGGAGGAGGAGGGTGGGGAACCCATGGAAGATGCCTCAGACTTAGCTCAAGCTTAGATTTAATTTTCCTGTGAAGGAATTATCCTTTCATCCTTCGTTGTATGATTTTGACAAGTAGTCTTGCAAGCACAGTATCTTTTTAGGGCATCTTACCCAACCTGATACATTGTAATTTGAGTAAATTTGATCTAAAGGTGGTTTTGACCAGTGTGGTCTTTACCGTAGGAGGATTGTTTAGGAAATGATTTTTTTTGTCAACATAGACAAATGTACAGAAGTAACTCTTTAAGTATTAGGAAAATTAGTTGTGTCAGAATCATAGATTTTTCATGCTCACAGTTGAAACAACATCCAACGTGGAAGGGGAGTCAAATGGCAAGTTGTATGAAAAAAGGAAACCCATAAATATTGGTGTTTGAGGCAGAAGAAAGGATGGGATAATTTTAGCTACTTCAGTGTTTGTTCTTTGTTATGTTTGGCAGCAGCCAAATGTTCCAGTTGGCATCTTGTAAAGTAATCTGACAGCCTTTATGAAGCACCATTGTTTTGGCTGGTTTGTATACCCATGTTAAAAGTCTGCATGTTTCAAGTCTACAGAAACACAATGCCATGGTGTCACTAAACATATAGAACTCTAGCAGTATTAATCATGACTTTAATCCAGAAAAGATGTCCTATACTGCAGTATCCTAAGCAGTTTCTATTGTAACAGGTGGAGAATAATGTGTTTTTGACTATGTTTCGTCCTTCTTTACATGAACATTTTATAAGTGTTAAGATAATGATTGTATTGTCACAACAACAAAAAAAAAACAATAACAGAATGCATTTCTCCCATACTATAGTATGGGTGAAATGTACAAATGTAAACTAGTAGTTTTGTTTTCCATTATGTCTGTAAGACATTCCATGCTTTCATTTTGCATTTTAAGTGATTGTTAACACTTCCATAGACAGAAGCGTATGTATGTACACATTATCGTTGACAGCTGTGTGCTCTGAGTCCAAGGTATTTTGCTGACTGGCACTTTTTCGGTTACTGTTGTTCTTCCTACTTGTAAGAGGATTATTGTCCAAGTGTATTAAACACCACACACACACAGAACTGGATATTGTCTTAGTCTTTTTTCGTGTCTGTGAGTCAGTCAATGAAGGTGTGAATTAGTTTCACAGAAAAGATGGAAGCAAGTACTGAAGAACTTCATTGCATCAGAGTTTATTACAAAATATCATAAACATCACCACTAACAAAATAACGTGACCTTACAAGTGGTCTACCATGTGTTGTTGGCAAGCTAATTGCAATTAAAAAGAAATACAGTGATTCTTCTACAATTGGAATTCAATAGGCAGTGTGATGGTAGAATAGACATGATAGGCCAAACACTTGCACACTTGCTATTTCTTAGCATGTGTATGTTTCATATACATTTTTACTAGTTGTGTGCCAAAACGATAGCTCATCCAAATGTGGTGTGTAAAGAAAATTGGACCTTGACCAATTGCAATTCAATTAGCACTTTTCCCAGAGTAGGAAACAGTTTTTATTGCGTGCAAGCCTTCTTGAAAGTACTCTCCGAGCAGGGGTTTGGGCTTTGGCTTTTTTTTGGCGTGTTTTAGGCTTTTTTTATCAGGCCTTTTTTTTGTACTGGCTGGCAAAAAAAAGATAGCAGTACAAAAAAGATAGCCCAATAAAAAGCCTAAAAACATGCTCCAAAAAAAGCCAAAGCCCAAACCTCTGCTTGAAGAGTATCTTGAAAGCTGGTCCACGATTGGCTGTTTTTGTATTGCTTGCCCAAATTAAATTCCTCTGATAATGGTACATAAATATAGGTACAGTGCACAGACCTTTGGATGGAACATACATACATGTATCCTGATACAGTTGTTTCATATTTGTCAACAGCATACTGATAAGACTTAAATTGGGCAAAGGTATTACATAGAAGAGGAATTCAGATGGAAATCTAGTGCCAATGACAGCTATATCATGTCTGTCTGAGAGCTCAGAATCACAGAACAAAACGCCAATTTCCTGGTAACATTGGCATTTATTAAAATGGGAGAGTGGGAATTAATGGTTACTGATAAATAATGCCATTTTATTCAATGAGGTAAAATAACCTTATCCTGTAGCACTCTTTATCAAGTGGTATGTACGGAATGTGTATGTATACTGGTGTGCTGTAAAGATTAGCAAGCTTTTCTAAATTTTATTTACATACTTCAATACTCTGTTATGATTGATATTTCTTTTAAAAACAGTGACGGACTGGGCTAAATCAAAAAAGCCCAGCTCCATACACATCCGAAATATTGTAAAGTATATGCTTTGTATAAAGTTGTGCGTGCCTGATGTGCCTACTGTGCATTCCTGATACGGATTATTGATATGCTTTACATATTAACACTTCTCCGATTGCAGCATAGTATATATTCTACATATTCAAAATACATACATACATTATATATATATACACACATATAAATATAGTTTCTAAAATATTTTTGAGATATTGAAAAATCTGAATCCCGGTGAGGTTTTTTTCTGGACATTTTTGGATTTGCCCCCTCTCTTGGGAACTGGCGAGCGCGCCCCCGTGGTTGCGGGTAGACCTGACTTGTCCTCGGATATGAAGAGCGGGGTAAGCGGCATGTTCCGCTCTCTCTCCCGCCTGATTTCGCGTATCGCCCCGTGAAATACCTGTGGAAACAAATTGAACATCACGTCGACATTTTACAGGTTTTGTTGTCGATTTTCGTCAGCAGGTCCATTGATAATGTTTCCGACCGAACTTTATTGCATATTCACGCCCTACATGGGCCAAATGCACTAAGGTAACTGAGGTATAAGGGTAGGAAGAAGTAGCAAGAAGTGCTACATTACTATATGTCTACATATACAGGATCTCTTCTCTCTTTTTGAAACATGCATCCTTTGAACAATTCAAATTCTATTTCTGTAGGGATTTGATAAAAGATTTCGCATGTCTGTATAGTGAGCATTCTAAAATGTGCTTCATCTAATTCATAGTTATCGTTACAGAGTGTACAAATTCTTTAATTTCATTTGGGGAAGTCTGGTTGTACCTAACTTCATGTCATATACAATGTACTAGTCGCGCTCAATTGTGTTTTGCTAATTGCTTTAACCGCAGCTCGCCTTTCTTCTGTGTTTGTTTTGCCAGCTCGGTAGACTCACAGACTTACAGTCATTGACCATTGTACCTTCACTATTTAGTCAACAGTGCAACCGTAAGAGTATAAACTTAACAATCTTCGGTTACAGATTTTTTTAAAGACGACATATGTTTTTCTGCGTCCACTGTCTGTGGTAAAATTGATGCTTGAATACCTTTTGTACACCTTCGTAGTCCCCAGCAGCCGACGCCTCGAAGAACGAACAGCCGTACTGAGATGCCAGAGAGTTGCCTTCTGCCTTGCTTACTTGTCTGTGTAGAGATACGAGATAGGAAAACTCAGTGTGAAGTCTGTCTTTCCCCTTTTGTCTATGCCTGCTTTTGTGAAGTGAAGAAAAGATTTCCGTCATGTATACACATACTTGAACACTCAGGTTTGTGTGTGTGTGTGTGTGTGTGTGGCTTTTGGAAGGCTAGCTTGTCGGGAAAATACCATTCAGTTTGTCGGCATTCTGTCGCTTAAAGGCATCCAATGCAATTTCAGGACAGCAAAACTGGATTTTTAAGGTCAATTTTCTGGTCATTCTTTTAATGTAGAAAGTTGAATTAGTCCTAACCCACAGCATAGTTAGTATCTGTGAGGCAAAAATGCGATGTAGCTGACGAAGAATGGTTGCTTGTTTTGTATCATCAGCTGGTTCTAGCTATTAATAGGCGGTATCCAAAAATAAGGAGACGCTTCACGTAGCTTGTTTTGGGACTATTTCAAACACTTCAATTATGAAATGATGACGGAAATGTGCCAAAAAAGGCAAAAATGTCAATATCAAACAGATTTTTCCATTCAGAATATTTTTGCCGTCCTGAAACTGCTAATGGTGCTTTCATCGTTAGATCAAGTTTAAGGTTTCAATGTGAAAGATTCTTCAATACCACCGCTTTCCTGAACTGCGGCAAATAAGGTACAGCAACAACAACTACACTTGCTCAACTCAAACTGCAGTAGTCCCAAAACAAAACACACAAATTAGGAAAGTGGTAGAGGGTATACACAACTCGTCCTGCTTTACTTTAGTCGACTTGCTTGTCTAATTTTGTTTCATTATGACTTCGCAGGGGCCGGCCAAATATTTACACATTTTAAAGGTATTCTTGGAGAAAGAGTGTTTACTTCTGTGACCTTTTAGCAGCACTTTTAGTCAGACCGACTATTAGCTGCGCTGAAAGTCATAGGTTGAACACGTTGAGAATTACAGACGATGCCAAACATCGTCCCGCGCCAAAAATAACAGGTGCACTCTTCAGTGAAACTTCAATACCCTAAGAGTAAATATACCGTCCTTTTATAGATGCTTAAGTACCAAGTAACGATGCTGTGGCGTCAGATACTCGAAAGAAGTAGTCTAGCTGACTTCTGCATCGGTACGCTTTATAGGATGGGGGTGATATGATAGTAGAACGTAGTAGAGAAAAGTCTAGTGGCTCTAGTCTAGTCTAGTCATATAAAAAATGGCTCCATCGTTTTTGATCCAATAACAAATTCTTCTACACTGACTATAGTGGGGCATTTGTTACAATACTGTAATTTCCAAGAATCGCAAAAAGCCTGACCGAAGAAAGCCTCAAAATGTACACCACCAAAGCCTGTTAAGTCAGTCTTTGCCTGATCTATCAACTCCCATCTCCGGTTCCCAAACTAAGGCCACAGCTAGTACATTTTATGGATGACATCCTCCGCAGACTCAAAATCAGATGCGATAGGGCGAAGAAAAACAAGGTGGGCCAAAAAACAAGATTCCAATATTTTCACATTTTGGCATCATATTTTGTTCTTATATGTTTAAGTTTGAGTCTCGTCTCCTCTCTTCAATTTCTGCCATCCACGTCCCGGCATGGCATGACAACAGACCGATTTCGGCATGCTTGACCACTGTCAGAGGGCAACAAAATTTCTTTCTCTTTTTTTTTTACCAAAAGCAGGCGAAAATTAATGTGAGTGTTGATGTCGTCCATACAAATTACTTGCTGTGGCCTATTGTCATCACGTGGCTCTGCGCGTGACGCAGACGGGGTCTAGTCGGGGCGGCTGCCGGGTGGGGGAGGCGACCTGACCGGTTGATACGGGGTTAGGAAAGGCATCTATAAATGAGGCGATGAAATTGGGGAGGTGGGTACAAGTATGCCCCGATTTGGAAGTATCAGCAACTTGACATTGGACTTGGAGTCAACTTAGCTCGCCCACCCCGCAAGTTACAAGGTCAAGGCTGATATCCAATGGATCTAAAACCGTTTAATGATTTTGGACAAGCCTGGTGATTTCATGAAGTCGTTGTCACCGCAGTCCGAACAGAACGATATATAATACATGTATAAACTGTTGATGTATGATGTCTGTTTAACTTGTTGAAAGGCATCCAATCCAGTTTTAGGGCGGATTTTCACAGTCAATTTGCTGGGCATATTTTTTTTACTGGAGTAAGTTAAATTAATCAACTCCATCAAATACTACTGATATCTATGCAAAAAAGCAAAAAAATGCGATGTCACTGACCGGAAACGGTTGCTTGTTTTGCACCGTACGGTGGTTCTACCTATTTATGGGTGGTACCCCCAAATAGAGCTTGTTTTGGAGCATATTATGAACGCTATTCAAGTATGAAATGACGTTAAACAAATCAGAATGCGGGCAATGATAGTATCCTGTTGAATATCTCAATTTAAAAAAAAAAAGATATATTAGTGTAGAGAAATAGACGTAAATTTAGAAGTATAGAGAATGTATACGTAGACAAAAATATGTTAGGCGTTCGAAGTCCCGGCGCCTGTAATATCTGTGCTTCCCTAGCTTGGGAATCCCTAACGCACGGATTCTAAGTAGACGACGTCGATAGTTTTGTCTACAGTTAAGTGGAATTCAACAAACGTGCCGTGCTAGATTACACGATTTTCGTTCTTTTCTTGTTTATTATTTTTTTTACAAACTTACAGAGGCATAATCGAGTCCCATTGGACTTGAAGAATCTTAGATATAGCAGCTCAATTGTCTCGGTAAGAGTCCACACCAGACTGTAATGACTGTTTTGGGAGCAGGCTATTTTCTAAACACCCAAACACAGCGGTTGGAACCGGACGCCTCAAGCCGTCTGCCCGAAATGTGGCGAGGTCACTGATCTTGACCTGGTGAGGTCTCGGGAGGCGGTGAGGGAGACATTAGGTGTAACCAAGACACGTTTTCTTACTTCAAGTCTGGGGTTTCAGGAAGTGATCAAGCGCGATGTCTTGAATGGTTTAATGGGTGACGAGTTTGGAAGCTGAAGCGATAAGACACTAGTATTCCTTTCCATATATAATTTTCCTTGGCATATGTTGGCTAATCATTTTGTAAAACTATAACCTCGTTAAAGGCACCCAGTGCGATTCCAGGGCGGCAAAGCAGGATTTTCAGTCAGTTTTCTGTTCATTCTTTTAATGTAGTAAGTTGAATCAACCCAATCCCATAGCATATATACTGGTTCTGTGAAGCAAAAATGCGATGCTGACGGAAAACGATTGCTTGTTGTTTTGTATCGTATTGTATTCTAACTATTTATGGGTGGTACCAAAAAAAGCACCAAGGACAGATGGCGTAGCTTGTCTTTGGGCTATATATTTTAAACGCCTCAAGGACGAAATAATGACAAAAATGTGCTAAGAAATGGTAGTGAATGTCAATATCAGACAGATTTCCTCATCCAGAATATTTTTGCCGTTCTGGAATTGCATTGCGCCTTTAACACGATGATGACAAGACGTCCGGAGTCTTACCTGTATCTCTCCATGTCTGTCTTGTTGCCCAGAACGATGACTGGCGGCTCGTACTGCTGATGGGTCGGCTTCTGTTGCGTCACTTCCTCCAGGTAGTCACGTGCTTCGTGAAAACTCAACCTACCATATCAGATAGAAAGTGATATCATGAATGGTACGGCATTAATATAAACAACGCATCCTTTATAAGGGGTGACGCCACAGTTAGGACCTGTAAAATCAAAAGTAGCTTTGAAACTTTGAAAACCCTTTTGGGGCGGCGGGGGGGGGGGGTAATTTCAGTGCACGTTTGGCATTTTGATGGTGTAGGTACACCATCAAAATGGTGATGGTACAGTGTAGGGGTCTGAGTCAATGTTTTTGCAAAAACAACAATGTAATTTTTTTCAAGAAATTCCTTATCTGCGGTGCTACACCCCTCTTGCTATTCTCTTGGTATCGACCTGAAATAGGGGGTCAAAGTGTACCAATGTTTACCACAGTGAATGTTTACCAAAAACAACTACAGTTTTTTAATCGCTGTACAGAATTTACTGGAAAGGCTGGTAGGTACATATTTATGCATGGGCTACCATATAAAGCTTAGTCTACCACATGAAGCTGAGTTTATGTGACCAGAACGTCTGAAAGGTAAGATATGATGCCTTTTTTGTCTCACTGTTTTGCATGTGTTTGAATGCAGGAGATCAACTGTCGCGTCTCTCCTCATATGTTTACTTGTGTATAATGTTCGACTTCAGTTCTTCTGTAGGTTGTTTTGGGCGGCTGTGTGTATCTGTTTGTCCAGACAGAGTAGGTTGACAGCACGTGGGTGGGGGGGGGGAGATTGACAGGCAAAATGACAGGAGGACAAGAGGTGAACGTTTAAGTCTGAGAATCTGGCCTGGAGCCAACAGGAATTAAGGGTCGACATGGGGGATGCAGAAACCTTAGCGGAGACATGGAAGTCTAAAATCTCCTGTTTCTTGGTGCACTTTGTTGGTTCGTTTGTTGTTAACGTTGCATGCTCGGTTGTGTGTGCCTACCTGTTGTTGATACTATAAACGACAATAAAGGCGTCTGCCCATCGCAGATACCGGTCACTGTTCTTGCCATTTCCTGGTTCCTGTAGTAACAAACAGATTTAAAGAACAGTTACTAGTTACAGTTACTATTACAAGAACAGTTACAGATGTGCCAAAGACTTCAGACGAATTTTACGGAAATCATCCGAATTTACGGAATTGATACTAATTTTTCGGAATACAGTTAACAGTTACTAAGCAAGCTACAAGTATGTGTGAAGGGGAACGCTAGGGAAACAATGTTTGACAACATCACCACAACGTCACGATAGTCTTGGGGGAATAGTTCCAATTTTGAATACTAATCCTTGTCCTGACGTAACTTATGTTTGGCACAAAACAACTACGTCTACCAGTTTGTAGACACAGTTTGGATTTGTAAGTCTCTTAACTTGCAGACATAACAAACACTACATACCTGCTTTGCCGTGTCCATTATTTTGACAATACTTGGCTGGTTGTCTACCGACTCTTCTTTTGTATACGTGTCCTCTGTACACAACAGAAAATTATCCTTGTCAAGCTGCCGGTATATATAAATACATCATGAAATACTATACAAATTCTTAGAGAACGAAGATGAAAAAAAAACTTGACTGTGGGAATGAAAGGTTTGAGACGTTACCTAGGTTAGGGTCGTATTCGTTGATAAATCTTCGTGTGAGAAACTTCACCGTGAGCGCTGAGGAAAAATAAGACATACATGCAGATTACTACAGAATAACAAATGAAAACTTAATTGTACGCATTATTATAGAAGAACATGGAAGTGAGTGAGTGAGTGAGTGAGTAATTGAGTGAGTGCGTGCGTGAGTGAGTGAGTGAGTGAGTGCGTGCGTGCGTACGTGAGTGAGTGAGTGAGTGCGACACCGTCCCAATTTATTTTCTTCTAAATATAGCACAACCTCTTGCTTAGAATTTCCAGTATCTCGGCGTGTAAGCTCGGACATCTGTTTATATTTCCCATCCGAGGGCCGTGTGAACAAGTCGCGTGGTTCGATCTAAAGGATTTCAGCCGCTAAAGTTTAACACGGGGAGGCCCGGGGAGAATTCTTGTCTTACCATACCGGGCGTTCTAGTTAAGGCTGAGGCTTAACCCAAGTCACAAGTGTTGCCTTAGATATGGATACCAGCTGACGATGCGAAGCAGAATTTAAAGGCATCCAATGGAATTTCAGGGCGGCAAAACTGGATTTTCAAAGTCAAGTTTCTGGTAACTATTTCTACGTAGTAAGTTGAATAACTCCTGTCCCATAGCATACTGATATCTGTAAGGCAAAAATGTAATGTTGCTGACGGAAAACGGTTGCTTGTTTTGTATCGTAGGCTGGTTCTAGCTATTTATGGGTGGTACCCGAAAACACTCCTCGTATAGCTTGTTTTGGGGTTATTTCAAACGGAACTGACAAACGCTGCAATCATGCAATGATGAGAAAGATTGCTAAAAAATGACAGTAAATGTCTATTTCAGACAGATTTCCTCATCTATGAATTTTGTTGTCGCCATGAAATTGCAAAATGTTTTTAATGTCATCTAAAGCCCCAACTACATTCTAATGTAGTCGCGTGGCTCGATGAATGATACAATGTTCATGGAGCAAAAGAATCTCCACCCTCAACTTTAGCCTCCACCCAGAGGCCTCCACCAGGCCTTCCTACGGGGGTACGAATTCGGCAAAAAAAGGGAAGAATATTGGCCAAGTGCGGGCAAATGAACTCTACACTGACTAAACTACATGAAGCCTGGCTAATTTTACTGTTTTTGAATCCGCGGTTTTGTTTTTGACTATCTCAAAATAGTGTTGTCACAAGTCAACTCGAAGTTTATTGCACAAGAATTGTAGCAGGTACAATGTATGGCAGATGTAAGATTACTAGCTGGTATGGGTCTATCATACTTGTAACGTTACATACAGGTTCAACGTAACGGATACTATGTCTGGCGGAATGTTAAATAGAACTACTGACTAACAGCTAGTACAACCCCAACATGTACGTGCTAAGCTACGTACGCTGTACTATATTTATAACTTGGGGTACAATGAGCGGTTGTATATATATACTATACAGGTTCTACGAATACCATACTTCACAGAGTGTCGACTGAATTACTGGCTAAGATCTGTTACAATTCTACATCCCAGTCGGTCGGTCGGTCACGGGAAAGTGTCTGGGAAGCGCCTGCGAACACCCTGTCACTACAGGTCGCGCTCTGCGACAACCGACTTGATCCGTGTTTATTTGCCGACTCTCTCCGCCCTCTTCAACTCGGATGCGGTGCACCAGGTGTGGGTTTCCCGCCATATCTCCGTGGTTTGAGCTCACAGCGCGCGAGGATTCTGCTAGCTGGTCTTTTTTTGGACGGTTGACAGACAGTGATATCTTAACCCCGACCCGGCAGTTGGCTACCGAAATCAGCGTTAACAAGTAACACCTGCATTCGGTGGATAAATATATAGCAACAGCGCGGCGTTTGTGCATCTTTGACTAGAGATAGACACCCGGGTCGGGAGCGAGTGGTTCGCGGGAGGGATGATGCTGACATTGGGGCCACGACCTCGTCCCCCACCCTGCTCTAGTTCAACGTAACAGCAGGTCTATTTCAAAAGAGGACGTTTCTGTAAATATTTGCACTGTCCCAAATACAGGGGATTCCTCAAACACGCGGCTACCGCATACTTGGAGACGTGCTAGCCCGTCGCCTTGGCAACGGGAGACATCTTTGTTGCATCAACCTGAGAGAAGAAGGGAGGCCTTGTAGCGGACCACCTGTGTGGGACCAGCTGGGACACGGGGGCACGCCCGAGCCGTGTTCACCCATTCACACAGAAATACCAAAACTACAACGGCATATTTGCCAACTGATGTAGTCTGACTCCCGTTGCTACGTAGTACGACACAAAGTGGTGGCGCACTCTCAAGTAGCCCCAACGCTACCACTTTACAAAAAGATACTTTAGTATTATATACATACGTGTTGGGCCATTCACACTGAAATATCAAAAGTACAACGACATATTTGCCGTCTGACTCCGTTGCTACGTAGTACAACACAAAGTGGTGGCGTGCTCAAGTAGCAACAACACTACGACTTTACACACGCAAGAACATGGATTACGTTTAATCGTATACATACGTGCATATACAAAAGTACAAAGACATACTAGTATTTGCCAATTGATGTCGTCTGCCTTTCATTGCTACGTGCCTACTTGCATGGAGTTTCCACTTAGCCCTTCTTATTGGCACAAGTCTACAAACCTTGTGAAAACTCATTAAAGTCTTCTCGACCGGCCTCAGGTATGCACTTGAGTGGAAAGACCTTCTTTTGGTAGAGTGCGAACTGAACGACTACAAGTACAGACGGACGAGTAAAGATAGAATTTGAAGTCTGTACGCTAATAAATGCCCTGTATGAGGGCATGTTGGAAGGTATACATTCAGGGACATGAAACTGAAATACGTGCATGTTAGACTTAACAGTGCCAAACCGACTGATAGGGGACGAAATATGTGTCGGATTGCAGAACACTTTCTGGTATGTAAATAACATACTAATGAAAACGGCATTACTTTCCTACATGTATCTTTGCACGTAAGACAACTTATATATACAGTATATAGGGTGAATGATTTGTTATCTCCAAGCAGATGTAATCATCCGATTCAGTGTTTAACTCGTTATTTCTCAGCATTTCAAGTCTTTCCAGAGGTGTACCTTTTGTATTTTACAAATAAACAGAGAAAGCCGCAAAGAGACCAACAAAATAGCCACAGTTGCCAGAGGCCAATAGATTGGAAATACTAGCGAATCTTGCGTTGCCTATGTGAACTAGCAACTCTATGGCCGGCTAACTCTCATGGCATACTTGTACTTTTCACCACATCTACCAAAGTCTAGTATTTTCTAGCAACTCAAGCTACATATTTACGGATTCGTAAAGGAAGCTTAAAGGCATGGATTATATTTACATCGTATTTAAGCGCACTGAAAGGTGACGGAAAGGCGGAATTTGCCTTTCAGCGGCCTTTACGAAGTCGAAAAGTCTACTGAAATATTTTCCTACCTTTAATGATTCTTTACATATTGCGGGAATTAAAGTTTGCTTAAATGTCGGTTTTCGTGCTGTGGAGGGTTCTGGTGTAAACTAGGTTTATATCATAGATTACCGGCTTTTTACCCATTTGTAAGACAAGCGCTGATGTCGTGATTTAATCGGGACAAGGTAAACACGACCCAGACACGATCGTTAATTAACGAGCCGGCGATGATTACGACATGATCTAGAATGCCTCCAACGTAAACATCGCGGTTTGTTGTGAGTTCTGTTCTTCCGACATCTTCCGACCGGTCATGTCCCGAAATGGACACTCGGTGACAAGAGGAAACACGGGTGCTGTTTTATAATTGGGTCAAGTTTTCTTGTTGTGATAAAGCAAAGCAGTTACTGGTAATTGGCTGGTATACGTGTTGAAAAGAAAGTATCAGTAAATTTTATGACCATTCTTTCGTCAATAGATCAATCTAGCGTGTTAATGCTGTCTAATCCGCCTTGCTAATCCCCAAGCACGATATCTCTGATACATGAGATAACTATTAGATTAGATAAAAAGCTTTTTTTATAAAGAATATACCAGTAATAAATATTATGCCAGGTGGTCGCGTCATCGAAACGTTCAAAGGACCAATATGTATATATGCATGCTTGCCTCCATGGCGGACCACACGATCGTTACTAGTATATTTAAAATAATGGCGTTTTTCTTTTGAATTTTTTATTATGCACTGAAGTTTCTGGCTGATGGCCATATGAATGAACTCTATTGCTAGACAATCGTAGTCAATCAACAAGACTACGAGGCTAAACGAGTTCTACCATTCTAACTATCGATAACAGTATATGAGTTACTATATAGTCATTTATGAATAGTTTCGTGTTACTTTTGGAATGAAATATAAAGAAATTGACCTATGTAAATTGAATACGGTGTTCTGATAGAGCTTAATACTCTTAACGCTATAGGAACCAGAACACAGTAAGTGAGTACATAACGGCGGGGTCAAATTCGTCGTACGATTTAGAGGTCGTAGCCCCAAGACGTACGCCTATATGTCAAAACCGTAACGCGTCCAAGAAGTAGGGCCTGGCAGTGGAGTCTATTAGCTGCAGCTCGTAAAGAAAGAGGCGGTCAATTGTCCCGATTGTCCCGCGAGGAACTTTAAATAAAGCCCCCCGATTGTCCACCTTTCAGCGCGGAAGCGGCGCGTCACGACCCGCAGATAAGATGGTATGTTCGCAGGTCAGAGACTCTGCAGTCAACCGCTGTGAACCGTCAGGGTCGGGTTCCCCCCTCCCACAGCCAGCATTGTACTACCCAGACACACACAGCGGTAAACTAACCTGGAATAGAGATTTACTATAGGGACGTCTGATGATAGGGAGAGTTCACTGTTAGCTGGGCGAACATTTTAGACTGTCTAGTTTAAAATTAGTCTCCATCAGACTTCTATTGCAAGTCGAAATCGTCCTAATGGGGCATATAATTGGTAGGGAGTTAGCCGGCCCGTAATTTTTGTACAATTTGTCCTACTAGGGCCGGCTAACTCTAGCCTGTTTTGTAACGGGCCATGCACTCGCTACTCCCGAAAAAAAGATGGCTCCCAGGCTATGCTAACTCCCT